AAAGCCAAGAAGTGCCAACTGAAGAAACAAATAATACACCAGTCCACCGCCTCACAGTCTGGTGAAGCTGTTGCTATTGTACGTGCAAAGCTCCAGGAAGCATCACCCATACCCATGTGTGAGTGGTCACCTGGAAGCAGCAGCAAGGGCCCTCTCCGTTGAAGCATGCAAGGTTTTTTTTGGCAGGGCGGAAACCCCTGTGGTTAGAGAAGAAAACCACAAGATGTGAAAAAAAAAAAAAAAAAAAAAATTGCATACCCCTGGGGCATGGGGCTTTCTCAGTGGGTTTCAGATCACAGACCACCTGCCTTGCACAAAGGAGCTTTTGCAGAGCAATTGCAAACAATTGCAAAGAGAACAATCGAGCACCTGAAGAACTCAGCTGCGTGTCAGCAATGCATGTGCTTGGAGATAAAAAATACACATGGATATATGCCATGAAACGCTCGTGTCTTGCTTGCTGGGTAATAAAATACGGTGTGCTCTGCCATCCACACGAGACCCCTTGAGGGCGTGCAAGCGAAGGCAGCAGAATCCCTGCCAAGGAACGCAACCTGCGGCCTGCAGCCAAAGCATGGGGCTTGTCCATGACTTCTGCAGAGCTGGAGCTGCTGTGAACCCCCAGATGGCTGGGAGGCAGCAGGCTGCAGTGGCTGATCCTACCTCAGGCACGAGCATCATCAGTCTGAATCTCTACAGAAGTCATTGACGCAAAATCCTTGAGGCACCATTAAGAACTGATAACGATAAATGAGCCCAAATTCTGGATTAGAACTGAATTTCTTCAGAAATCTTTTTTTTCCGCTTCATTTTGCTGCAGATGCTGAACACCGTCTCTTTACCCAAGAGGGTCCTGATGACATCACATCCTCTCCAAAGAGCGGCACAGCCTCCTAAGTCAAGCGAGAAAGATCATCTCTGCTCCTCTGCACCATCCCCAAGGACGGCCACCCCTAGGAGAAGATGCCTGGGTCTCCTGCACTGCTCCTGCTCGCTCTGGGGCTCTGTGAGTATGGACACAGGGTTGTGCATCACCTTCACCGGGAGGGGCAAGGAAACCCCTTCCACTGAATCCAAGAAATTGGGCTAAATAGTTGAAGGGAAAATAAAAAGCAAACCAAAAAGGCTGACTTTGAGGTTTGCTCAGTAATTGCGGAGGTAAAGGTGGCATCACCTCAGCCAACACTGGGCAGCCAGAGGGGTGGCTGCAGCATCGTATGCACTGGGAAGGGAGCCCGGTTGGAGAAGTGGTTCTGGAGGGGAGAGGGAAGGGGAGAAGAAGGGGATTTAGCAGTCAGTGTTTTTAGAGAGTCACTTCAGATAAGCTGGGAAGGGGTACCATCTCCAGAAGGCAGCTGAAAGGCTTTTCTGAAGGGCAGCACACATCTTTAAAGCCCGGTGGCTGATTGCTGAGCGCCCTTCACGCATGGTCCCAGCAAGGACTCCAATGAAACCTTCAGGTCATCTAGACAGCACAGTTATCCTTTGCATTTGATCTCATACCCCATGGACAGGGAACAAGGTTTGCCCGGGGGGGACGTGGCTCTTCCCAAGAGGTTCCCATGAGGATTTCTCTCCCGCAGGCTGTCCTGGGATCTGGGGCCAGAGGTACACGATGACGGCCAGGTTTCGTGACAGCAGCATCACACACCCCCGGCTGGGACAGCAGTTGGAGCTGGAGTGTCTGGCCACCAAGGACGACAGTGGTGTATTCTGGGTCCGCCTGGACAAGGATGGGACCCTTCACTTCATCGTCTTCATTTCCTACCTTTCCCGGAGTACCTTTGAGGGCAACGCGAAGACATCCATACGCTTCGAGGCGAAAAAAGACGGCAAGGTCTACCGGCTGGTAGTGAAGTCTTTTACATCACAGGATGAGGGGAACTATTTCTGCCTCATGAACAGCAACCAAATGCTGTACTTCAGCCCTGGCCAGCCTGTCTTCTTCCCAGGTCAGCAACACCTCCACTCAACCTTGCTTAGCTCTGCCAAAATGTCCAGCACCCCCTGCCTATGCCTTTTTTAATCAGTCGCCTCTCCAGAAAACCCATTTCCCTGCTTGCTTGCACAAGGCACCTTGTGACCAACACACCCGTCCTCCTGCCGGGGGCTCCCTGCTTGCCATTTCTTCTCATGGTATCACCCCTGCCCAAGGCAAAGATGAACGGGCAGACCCAGCATCACCTCCCCATCCGCACTCCTTCATCCCATTTGTGGCTCTGAAGGGAACAGACTAAAGCAAAGTCCACCACCACCCTTCCTTCCTCACCTCACATAGGTCCCAAAAGTCCTACCAGCCTCAGGGTACTCAGGCTTTCTGAGGGTGGTGGCAGAAAGCAAGAAATAAGAAGCCTGCAGCTCCTTATTGGGTCTTGGGAGACCCTCCTTGGGGGAGTCACTATCCAAAATGGGCTCCATGAAGTCCCCCCAGACCCGAGCCCTACACTGGCCGCAGGAGCAGCCATGCCATGGCAGGGGTGGGAGAGCAGAAGGGCAGAAGAGAGCTATTTTATTTTATTTCCCTGTATGCTGTATTCATCCATTTTCACTTGTAGTTACCACCACACCAGCACCCACCACATCAGCAGCCACCATCCAGCATGGCATCACCGAAAAGGACCCCTGCCTGAAGACCCCGGATCCAGGTAGCCCATCTGCAGGCAGGGAGAGGGGAAGATCCGAGGGGGATCCTGCAGGCATTTTGGGATGGAATGGGGAGGGAAAATCCATAGAACCTTATGAGAGTTGGATACCTGGGTATGTGCAGCTGGGAGGGTTAAAACTCAAAAATGATCAGAGGGATGGAGCATCTCTGCTATGAGGAAAGGCTGAGAGAGCTGGGGTTGTTCAGCCTGCAGAAGAGCAGGCTGCGGGGTGACCTTATGGTGGCTTTTCAGTACTTAAAGGGGGCTCATAAGAAAGATGGGGACAGACTTTCTAGCAGGGCCTGTTGCAACAGCACAAGGGGTAATGGTTTTAAACTAAAAGAAGGTAGATTCAGACTGGGTATAAGGAAGAAATTTTTTACAGTGAGGGTGGTGAAACACTGGCACGGGTTGCCCAGAGAGGTGGGAGATGCCCCATCCCTGGAACCCTTCAAGGCCAGGCTGGACGGGGCTCTGAGCAACCTGATCCAGTTGTAGATGTCCCTGCTTAATGCAGGGGGGATGGACTAGATGGCCTTTAAAGGTCCCTTCCATCCCAAAGCATTCTATGATTCTATGATGAATATTTTCATCCCACTTAGGACAGGTTAAGGATGACTTAAAAAGCATGAGCATGTCTCCTGGCTGGACACACTGGGAAGAGGTGGAGGGAGGGCAGAGCCTTGGGGGCCAGTGCTGGTTTTAGCCTCAGCAGGAGACACGAGAAAACTTTTGGCTACGCGTCCTCCCTCAGGTCCCCAGGAAAAGACTGAGAGCAGCAGCAGTAATGAACGCTCCCCTCTGGGGATGACACCCATGCTGTGCCTGTGGGCATCCCTGGTGCCCACTTCTGCCTTTGGGGGCCAGGGAAAGCCCTCCGCCTCACCGCACGCCAGGCGGGTCCCTTGGCGCCAGCAGAGCTGGCCGTAACACCAGCTGTGAGCACCTGGTGGACTTTTCCTCTTCTCTATTCCTGCAGAGACCAGCAAGGAGAAAGAACTGGATTTCTTCTGTGAGATCTTCATCTGGGTTCCCTTGGCAGGCGCCTGCCTCCTGCTCCTCATCGCCCTGGTGGTCACCGTCGCGCTGTGTCAACGTAAGGCTCACCCGTAACCCCCTGTAGATTTTCCTCTAGCCCAAAACCGCAGCCCTGTCCTTCAGGGGAATGGATCTTCTAGCTATCCCCTTTACATAGGCATCAGATAACCAGGACAGAGCCAACACAAGAGAAGGACCTCTGTTAAAAAAAAAAATAAATAAATCAGCCTCTATATTTTCCTCATCAGTAGGCTTAGCCTGAGAAATAATTATAAATTTCTACACTACAAGGAAGAAAAACAGATTATAAATAGAGAAAACTTACTCTATCAAACTATATTGCCTCTACTGTCCTTAAATTGGTGCATCAGGGGGTAAAACTACCAGAACCTGAAACACTTTGACAAAATAGGATAAACGTGCTCCAGCACGGGGCTTGCAAATTCAAATGCCAAAACTCCCATTAGCAGCTTGAGCTGTAACCAACCCAGCAACTTAATTACACAGGTTCAGAGGCAGCTACGGTTAGAGCAGTAATGCAAAATCTCTGGGTAGGCCAAAGGCCTTTGGTGAAATTTCATGTTTGAAATGTCTTTAAATTACCCTGAGCAAGCAGTGAGTGCAAGTGTATTTAACTCAATTTAACGCTCACTGAAATCAGTTTAACTTTCCTTCAGGGAGTTTCCCGGTACCCCCAGAAGTTACACTGATTTCATTAAACCGGCTCAGCTTGTTTCCCTGGGACACCACAGCATTTGGCTGCTGAATTAACCTAGCTAGATCCTCACTGGCCCTGCAGCCTGGAGCTGATGTGAGACAAATTTGCCAGCTGGCCCAGTTTAAAAAAAAAAAAAAACAAACCAAAACACAATTTTTCAGCATCCTTCAGCCCTGACAAATACCAATCACCACAGTCTGCAGCGATAGGAAGGAATAAATGAAAACACCACTGATGAACCACAGCCAAAAAATTCATTCTTCTCGAGGGAAATAGCTGACGATGCAGCAGAGCACCCGGAGTTGGTCCAAATTCCCTCTGAGGTCACCAGGAGCACGAGGATTCCCTGGTGACCTGCAGCATCTATTAACCTACAAACGCCACTCAGTGATTTATTTCTGCTTGTTAATGCTGATGTGAATGAGCAGTGAAAAGCCATTATCTGCAATTAATTTCTACGGCAGGCAGCCCAAACTCTCAAGGACAGGTTTTTACCTCGTGCTAAAATCAACGGCCCGACATTGTATTTCACCGAATACATAACGACAGAGATGCTAAAAGAGGGGGGAAGAGGATCGTCCAACTTGGTTGCATGCTGCGTGGCATCCTTGCCGCTCATCTGTTGTAGAAATTAATTGCTGCCAATGGATTCTCAGCAACATGCCAAAGTCACTGGAGACAGCAAAAAAAAAATAATTCTCCGTTGGTGTTCCCAGGCTGACCCTGCTACTGTTACTCACATGAAAAATTAATTCATGAAAATACTTAAGTGGGCTGCCAGGGAAACGTGAGCTGCTGCAGTTGTGGGGCTTTCCTCAAAAATAAGCTCGGTTTATCTGTTGTTAGTCTTAAAGATAGCAAGCTGCCAGGGAATGCCAGCCCTACCTTGCTGCAGCGTTTCTTTACTGAGCTGTGAGTCGGTATCTTTGAGCTAAAACGTTTTCTTTTTTATTTTAGAAACCAGAAGACGAAGATGCAGATGTAAAAGGTTAGTAAGTTAAAGGGGTTGATATTTTTCTCTTAAACTCAGCAGCAGCTCACCCTCAAGCGATAAAGCAGGCAGGTGCCAAAAAGCCATCTAAAAATTCTTCATCCGATATATGGTGGAGGGGAGGGGAGTGTGTAATGAATTAAGGGCAAAACAGAGAGATAAGGTTCTCTTCTCCTGCATTTGTTGTTTTAATATTAAGTAATTCAAATCACTGACGCTGCAGGAGGTACTAAACAGAAAGACAGGAGGTCTTTGCGGCAGCCTAAAAACTTCACGCATCACTTGATGCTTATAATTAACATCACATTTGTGTGCTCCCAATGCACTACTCCAACTCGAGCCCGGGGGTGACCGTATTTCATCCCTTCCCAAACTGTTCGTTTGATTTCGTGACTGGACCTTCAGGTTGTGCCCATAGATTAGATGCAAGTTATTGCATCCCAGATCCCCCTCTGCACAATTTTGGACCAACATCACCACAGCTTTATGCCTCTCCTTCCCCAACAGGCGCTAAGGAACAGCAGCAGAGAGGCTGATGCAGCCCTCGATGACTTTCCTGAAAAACAGCAATGCAGATACATATAGCTTTAGTTAACCTGTTTTGTAGGGCAGACAGGAATCATTTTTTTATGCTTTCCCTCCTGCCTCCCCAACCCACCCATCATCCTGAGTCACCAGGAAAACACTATCAGAATAAGAATTGCAATTTGCCAGTTTGGAAGAAGAAATCCTTTTGCCTGCAAGTAACGCACATTTTGCTTCTGCAAATCGACCTCCCTGCCACGGCTTCTTCACCTCGCCTGCTCCACAGAAACCCACTTCTGCAGTTTTGCAAGCCTTGTGCGGAGGGTGCACCCTGGGGCTGGCGGCAAGAGAGCACTCGAGCACCGAAATCCCCGCTACCGCTCTGGCCAGGCCAGCGCTGGGCCGGCGCTTGGAAAAGCCGGGTTGCAAGAAAGTCTGGAACAGTATTGTCACGCTTCTGGAGCCTTATTCTTTGCAAATTGAGCATCTTTTAAATCAGATAAATTCAAATTCCTTGTTATACATGCATGGGTTTTATCGTAAAAAAGTTAATAGTTTTTTAGTTGTCCAAATTAATATGATCATTCAGAAAGAAACGGTGACTAGGAAACGCCTCTCTCCCCCTCCATTAACAGAAAATGGATCCCTACAATTTGGGTTTTTTAAAGGCAGAATGCATTGGAAATCAGTGCCTGAATACAACAGCATTGAAGGGAAGAGGCACTGAGCGGCAATGCCTTCTGCCCTTCGGGCGCAGTCCTTCTCTGGGTATGCCAGAAGGCAGCCGCCCCTACAGACCTGCTTTTTCTTTTACCCGCCTGAAAAAGGGAAGAGCCTGTTATTTTTACGATGGATATTTATTATATCCAGCGTTCTTCTGATCCTCGCCCGGCTTTCCGACAGCTAAACGATAACGAAGAGCTCTTCTTGCAGCCTTGTTTAGGACGATGCTTGCATTCTTCACTTATCTCAATCCCTGCTGCCAGCCCTGTGCAAAAACGTTCTGTCCCTAAGGGGGAAAAACACGCTGCAGAGCTCTTCAATCTTGCACCGATGGAGCAGCTGGGTTACAAGTGCCTCAGGAACTCATCTCATCAAGGACAGCTTTCCTGAGGCAGCGCTAACACGACAGAGTCCTGGTTTAAGCAATCGTAGCATATTTAAGCTCGTATTTAGAGAGGAAATTCCAGTTCCCACTTATTGAAATGAAGGTCTTTGGGAGTTAATAGTGCAATTCACTCAATTAAAGAGCGCCTCAGGATCTGGCCTGGGATTCTTGCTGGCAGCTGAAGGATTCATTTTCCACCACAAATTAATCTTCAGTGAAAACGGGTGCCAAGTCTCCAACTCATTAAATCAGCATAGAACTATCAATTGCTGGAGACCAGTAATTTCTCTCATTCTGGGGACATGCTGGTAGTGTAGAAAGCCTCCTTTTAAACTCCTCTGCAGGAAACTGGTTTGCAACAAGAAAAAGTCCTTATGAATTGATAGCAGCTTCCCCAACTGCAAAAAAGCCCTGAGTTCTTCGTTCTTTATTCATTTCTGAATGTGGAGAAAGGCTTGATGAGAGGACAGGAGTGTGCAGAAGTCAGAGGCAAATTTAAAAAAGCCCTTTTTTTTTTTTTTTAATTAGTGTGACAATTCATTAGCGGTGTATCTTAAGTCCTTCTACTGGCTGTCACTAGTTGAAATGTTGGCAGATCCTTCACTAGCACGAAGAGGATTTAGGAACACTTTGCGGCCTGCTCTTGGAGGTCCCCGGCTGCAGACCAAAGGCTAAACGAGCTGATCAACAGCCATACATTAATTGTCGTCTTCTTCCTTTCCCATCAAAGTAGATCAAACCCTTTTCTCTTTCTAGGCCTGCGAACGGGAAGCCCGATGTGAAACCCAGCATGCCAAACCGGCACGTATAGCCACCTGCACCTTCTGGCTTCCGGAGCGGCTCTGGGAGCTGCCACCGCGTACGCCCATCGCCTACGTCCTCAATAACGCTACAACTCCTCGTGCACTCTCTCTGCCTCGGCAAATTTGAAAGGACAAGACGGAGCAGACACGCGGACAGCAAGCAGGCGCTGTTTCTGTGACCTGCACGCTAAAGCACAGCTCCTTCCAAAACCTGAGTTTTTTCAAATTAACTCCCAAGGCCAAACGCCGCCTCCGTTCCCAGTGAGAGCGCTCTGTGGCTCGGGCAGAAGGAACGGGTCAATCCCGATGCTGACCTGTATCAGTGATAAGCTGATGAGAAATAAGAATATTAGCCGCATCTCTCCTCAAGAGCCTGCAATAATTCTTTCTAAAATGCGGCTAGAAGGTGAATTTGCTACAAGATTACTTAGAAATAAAAGCCTTCACTTAACACACCCGCTTTTCACGGTGCCACGTATCTCCTGGGAGTTTTACCGTTTCATCTAACACAACACAAGGCTGCACTGAGAAGGTAAATATTGATTAAAGGGCCTCACTTTTTAAGTTTTTACAACCCTGGGGGCTAAGGTTTACTGCTTCCTTCTTGCTATCCTTGTTCTGCTGCTAGCCCCCCTTCCACTGATTTCAGCAGTTTTGCCTGGGCAAGGAAGGCGGGATTTTCTTTCTTTCTGGAAGAAATGGTTGTGTGATTAAAAAAAAGTCTTTGTCACTTGCTTTAGCTAAGCAGGACTTTTAGCATACCTTCTTGGGCCATGTTGATTGACTACAATGAGATCTATTTTTTCTATTTTTATGTAAATATTTCCTTACTACACTGGCAAATCAAGAACTGAGAAAAAAAAATAAAACAATGTTTCTAGTTAGACTCTCTAATGTTTATTTCTTTATTCCTTTCCTAGCCTCAGAAAAGCTAAAATCCTTCATGAAGATAATAAACGAGGGTTTAAGGAAGTCTTGGGTACGGGAAAAGGCAGTGATTTACACACCAGCCTGAGCTTTAGGATGCCAGAGCTCAGCTTCCAGCTTACCACTGCCTAAAACGGGTCTAAAATTATTTTCCCAGGGACTTGCAAGAGGGTCCCCGTAACGCTCCCCCATCCCAGGGGGGTGCTGCGAAGGAGGAGGAGATAAGGGCTCTGGAAGTGCGCAGGTATTCTTGCCAAGGGGCTGATAAAAACCTGGGGGGTAGCCTCCTCCTCTTCAAACAGGCTGGGAAGGAGAGAAATTCAGAGAGAAATAAAGTTCTTCCAAACTTAGGTTTTTGTAATAATAAAAAAAAATAATTAGGGACTAGATAAATGTATCTAAACAATAGCAGGCAAACACGGAATGACAACTACATGTATCTATGACTACTATGAAGAAAAAAATTAACAGAAAAGCCTTGACATCGAAATGCCTACGAATTCACAGACATTAAGAAACGCTGAGAGAGATGCAGTCTGTTAAGGGTGGCCCCGTTGCAGCCCCAGGTGCGGAGCTGGGGAGAGGCGAGGCTCCCAGCACACCTGCGGTGCTGGGGTCAGCCTCAGCGCCGACCTGCAGCTGCAGTCTGACAACAGCATGAAGCAGATCTACTCACCAACCTCCTTCTAGGCAGACTAGGTCAGAGCTTTAGCCCGGTTTTAATACATTATGGTTACCTAAACCAGTCTGATCTCATCCTACAGTCAGCTCTAACCACACAGGTGAAAAGCTCATACCTTTTCTCTCTCCTGTGAGCGTCAATTTTATTATCAGCTCACCCTGGAATCTCTTGTTGACTTAGTTTGAGCTAGAAGTTTTCGCTTACAAAGCCTTAATTCATAAAGCGTTTCTGCAAAACAGCTTACAAGAGGCAGGAACATCACTGCCTCACTGGCAGCACCCTCTGCAGCCGTGTCATCGTCGTTCACCATCATTTTCTCCTGGGTTTTCACGTGATATTGGAGCTGTGGTCTGTATCGCGCCACGTCCCCGTAACCCAGGCTGTCCGGCAGCACTCCTCCTGTCCCAGCACTATCCCCCGAACCTAAATCCTCTTCCAGCAACTTCGCTTCTCTCCCCACTTCCAGCGGCCTTCCCCTCCCACTCCGGCTCTTTTACATGGTTTTGCAGAAAGAAGGTGAAGTGATCTGGCTGCCTGCATCTATGGATGTTTCCCCACAAAAGGCCACATGGGAAGCATTTCCTTGAAAACGCATTTTCTCCAGCACAGTAGTTGAATGTGGTACGTGACGCACACCGAGATTAAATGTATAGGATCAACATTGAACAGAAAACCTAGCAGAAGCATTTTTCTGTATTTTACGCCCTGTAAGCTATGCTGTTCTTTCAAATGAAATCATTATTTCCTGATGCACAGGTTAAATATTTATTGCTAGTTCTATTGCTAGGAGAGCCTACAGAGGCAATCCTGTAGTGAAAAACAGGATACGGGTATTTAAAATCAAAAAGCATTTCAGTAAGATGAACACATGTGCAACAAATTCCTTACTACAGAAACCGCATGGAATCCTAATGCAGGACAAACAGAGCAAAATAATACAAAGCAATGTAAAATACATATATTTGGGCATTACTAACTACTGACATTGCTATTAGCGATGCTCCGCTGTGCAGTGCCGCGCTAAGACCCTGCTCCTGCAGCGAGATCAATACAGCCAAAGCGCTCCTGAGGCCGCAGATGAAGGCAGCGAAGAACTGGAAGCAGTGTACGTTTGGGGTTTTTTTGGGTGCGCCCGGCTCGGCACAGCCCTCGACACCCAGGTACGGGAAACCCAGATAAACACCGGCCATCACACCGACCTGCGGCGACCAGCATCTACTGGCTGAAGCTCCGGTTGCGCAGCCAGGTGACTTAAACTAAAAATGAAATCTCATCTTTGAGGATAACTGGAGCCTTCATTCATAAATTCATGAATCCAACAAGCTCCCAGCAGCTTCGGCACTGCAAAGAAAGGGCTTTCCTTGCCCCAGCGCTGCCTATGTAACACATTCCCTCTTTAGAGGCTATGTTTCACAGACAAAGCAAGCCCAGTTTACGGACACATTATGAATTCTCCGGCCTGCCAACGTCTGGACAACGCCATCACAGCTGTAAGCTACGAGGGCACGGCTTTTTACTGAGTATAATCAAGCTATTAAAAATACATGACTGTTCACTGAACTCCATTAGCAGCTTTCAGCTTTACTTGCTAACTATCAGCCAGGTGTCATCTTCGATTTTTTATCTTTGTTCCCATCTTTGCATCCCTTTAAAACACAGATCCTGGTGGTCTCTGATTTTGGTTCTTAGATCTGTAGATGACCAAAGGGATGTGGCACCCAAACTGCATATAAAGTACCAGCAGAAATATTATCCCTCTGTACCAGTGTCACAGACACTCTCAGTTCGCATAAACCTATTAAGGAATTAATTTTAAAAGCATATCCAGCTCTCCACCTGCGGACTTTCTGTGAGGTACGACAAATACGTGTTCACGGACCGCTGCCCGTCCCGAGGTACCCAGGGGTAAAAGTTGTTCATCTCTCTGTTCTTACATGGGCTTCCCTATTTGTGAACCACTGCAATTTAAATGTTTTAGAAATACACCAAGTGCACTGGACTGGACTGCTGTGATTCAGCATTTGCTACCCCACCAGCAAAATCACCTCTGCAGAGGGTCAGAAGGCTGAGGGAACCTGAAGAGGCAGCTTGGGGCACGCACCAGAATAAGGACTTACTATTCTTTAGTCGCTGCCCCGAGTTTCGTGTTGAATACCCCCAAAACGAGGACGGACAGACACATCCATGAGACGTTTGCTTCAAACCACCAGCGACTTCACCAAGGAAGCCTCCGGCAGCGGCGGCGACGCAGCACAGCTCTCCAGAGCAGGACGGAGCTTCCTTCGCCAGCTCTTCCTTCCACGCCGTCCCATGGTCGATTCATCTTCCAGTTCAGGCAGCTGTAGCCAGCACCGTGTTTCAGAATTAAACCTATAGCTCAAGAAGGTCTGTTAAGTTTTCCATTTACATGTAGAGCTGAGGAACAACAGTCTTTATAATCAGATTAATAAGACCTGAATTTTCTTCACAAGACAAACCCCTACTGATAAGCTACTGAGAGAAAGCAAAAACCAAACCACATCTTTTGCACCAAAACCTTAATAACTAGATGCAAATAACTGAGAGCAACTCCAGCCCTGCCGCAGAGGTGAATGACTAACACAGCATCAAGCAAGAAGGCAAGTAGATGCCTCTAGCAAATCAAACACGTTCGGAGCAAACTGGCTGGGTTTGCGGTTGAGTAGCAATGCCTGGGCAAGAAGCCTGGACTGCTGCTTGCACCGATGAAAAGGCAAGGACTGGCTGAGCGGGAGCCTAGAGAAGCAGCTCAAGGGTGCTTGCTCCTCCATGCAGGATACTGTTGTTGCACAGGCCCTACAGATCTGACAGCTTTTTGGTAATAGCGTGTGGAGGAGGTTCTAGGTTACTCGGTGATGTGACTGCACGGGGTGCAGAGGCAAAGGCTGGGAGCTGTTATGGGTTAATACAAGGCAAACGAGCCTGAGATCATAGAATGGTTTGGGGTGGAAGGGACCTTTAAAGGCCATCCAGTCCATCCCCCCTGCCATGAGCAGGGACATCTACAACTGGATCAGGTTGCTCAGAGCCCCGTCCAGCCTGGCCTTGAAGGGTTCCAGGGATGGGGCATCTCCCACCTCTCTGGGCAACCCGTGCCAGTGTTTCACCACCCTCACTGTAAAAAATTTCTTCCTTATATCCAGTCTGAATCTACCTTCTTTTAGTTTAAAACCATTACCCCTTGTGCTGTTGCAACAGGCCCTGCTAGAAAGTCTGTCCCCATCTTTCTTATAAGCCCCCTTTAAGTACTGAAAAGCCACCATAAGGTCACCCCGCAGCCTGCTCTTGTGCAGGCTGAACAACCCCAGGTCGCTCAGCCTTTTGGTCCAGAAGGACTTTCAAAGAGAAGTGGAAGGAGTAAATTTGTTCAGAGGCTGAGGG